TTAATCTACATGCTCTATATACCTGAATCTAGTTCATAATTTCGGTACTTGGCTTGATTTCCCTGGTTTACTATATAACTTATTTGTTTTTTATTATTTTAATATGTTCAGTGTATATGGTTTATAGAAGTTCTCAGAGGTGTCCGTCAATAATATTCGTTTCTACAGTAATTTATATATAATTTCGAATCTAGGAAACAATTTTTCATGCTTATTGGTCTTTAGGCCAAACATGTATGGAAGCTGAGCAATCTCCTTAAACAAATAATTTGATGCGTTACTTATAATAGTTACTTGTAAGCATATTTGGCTAAATAATAAGGCACGTATGGGGATCGTATGTATATTTTATTGCTTCGTTATATGATATACATTGTATTCATGTTGTTTTATAAACATGTCGTGTGATATCTTAATTAATTAACATATAGACAGAAATGAAACTATTGTTGCAAATATCTTTGTGAATGAACTATATAGATAGAAACAAAAATGTTACGTAAGTTAATATGTTACCAGGAAAACTGTTATTGGCATTAGTTTAAGAAAATATTTTAAATGTAACTAGAAATAAGACAATGCTGTTGTTTTCCTAAAATTAATAATAATATCCGTAGTAAGTATGAAAGTAACACTTGCCGAGATTGGCAGTCTACTCAATCAGTATATTTAAACTGTTATAACATGTGTCATCGCACACATTAAATGATCCGATGTCGCCGCGACATTAATTTTGTATGTACGAGCGACTTTGTGACTGGCGATGTCGTGAGCGAATGAATGATTTACGGCGCAACAAAGTAACTTGATGGAGATGTACTCGCTGAATTACGACGTGAACACTCCAGTTATGATGATGTGTCGACCACGTGTTTGTTTATTTATAGACAATCGCGGTTTTAGCCGTTTGATTGATTCATCCAGCGCTTGTACTGTAACTTGACTCTACCCCTTTATTAAAATACGTTGGTAAAGTTAAACCTTGTCGTAAAATTAAGATGAGCCTTCCTTTGTTTGCTAGAAATAAGAAAGAGAACTTTATAAATATACTAGCGGCCCGCCCTCGCTTCGCTTCGGTGTAGAGCTGAAGTGTAGTCTACAGTTTTTGTTCTCAGGCTTGTATTATACACAATGGCATTCATCTATGATTCTTCTTATACCTGCATGCAAAGTCTTAGCCCGATCGGTTTAAAACTGACAAAGTTTCATACAAACTTTCATTCCCTATTTTATCCCTTTGGGGGTAGAATTGATCAAAATCCTTTCTTAGCGGATGCCTACGTCATAACATCTACCTGCATGCCAAATTTCAGCCCGATCCGTCCTGTGGTTTGGGCTGTGCGCTGATAGATCACTACGTCAGACACCTTTGAGTTTTATATATGTAGATAAATATTTCCAACACTCACACCAATTAGCCTAGCCCCAAAGTAAGAACTGTAAGGCTTGTGTTATGGAATACTAGAGTAACGGTTAGAATACATATACAGCAAATATATAAGTATATTTATATAGAAATACATATTAAACATCCATGACTGGAGTACAAATGCTCGTATTCATCACTGACTCGTTTCGGTCGAGTTTTGGAATACGGTGGATAAATTTGATATTGTACCGTTCGTTAACATTGTCCATTCTATTCTTACTTAAATTGTTTTTAATTATTGTTGTCGTCTGTAGGACACAACACGACGAATTTCATGTCTAATCCATTATCGATTTGTCTATGTATCGAGTTTATAGTTTTAAAGAGTACAGTCCTCGTCGGAAAGTATTTAGTGGAGGGATTTGCAACACAATTGTTTACAAAAGTAGAAAAAACATACTGCGTCTCACGACAAAGAGGGTGTCGCACGCACTGGCCGGGGAGTAACGACCGGAATACTATCCACCCAACGACAGAAAAGCTAAGCTTTTGTCGGTACTGGATCTACTGATGTCGCAATCTTCGAAAAATAGACTTAAATACAGCATCGTCATTTAGGAAATCATCACCTTATTATATCTTATCATTAACTTATTAACGTCCCCACAGGTCTTCATTGTGCGGACCAAGTGCAGTAAATGCGAACGGTTGCATATGGGATCTAAACTGATCACTTGAAAAGCCTTCCGAAATACGAAGGGTTTCGACATATTTTATTTATTTTTATAGCTAGGTAGGCAAATGACTCTACCCCACCTGATGTTAAGTGGTGAAAGAGTACAAACACGAGGTATCTGGTACAGCAGTTATAAACTGCCACACCAACCATCCTCACCTTTGCGGTCTGCAAAAATGCTTCTTCACGCCTCTCTTAAAGGATCCCAGATTGTAGCAAGGAGGGAATACGTGCGCGGGCAAAGAATTCCACTTGCGAACAGTACGATAAAGAAATGAGTCACCAAACTTCTTTGTTCGTGTAGGAATTGTGGCCACAGTAAGTCTATGATAATGTAGGCCAGCGCGCGTGATCCTCTGAAGAAAAGGTGATGGAGGGGTTAGGGAGAATAAAAAACAAGCGAGCCTTACTGTAGTCGCGTATGATGTGTAACATTCGAAACCTCACCTTATATTAGTAAAAAAAGAAATAAAACCTACTACAAAAGGAATAAGCTATTTGAACATTATGTTCTAAAAACAAATCAAATAGCGCGCGCTTTCGCGACTTCCTGTTACACACTTCCGTCCCATTTCACGAAATCACTCACAAATTGCAGGAAAGCGAGAGGAAAGATGTTACACATCAATAATATGTACTTGGTCACCCAACCAAGGACTGGGTTATTGCGATAACTGTTTCACTTCCACGAACCGCGTTAATCACTGCACCATCGAGCTCCTCTGTATCCTCTTTACTAAAGATAGGTAGGACAAAGCAGATTTTACCCTCAATATGGAGCGGCCCGTTTGGGTAGTAACCTCCACCTTACAAATGACCACAACCTTTTGGTAATGTTATGTTCCGGTCGGTGAGTTAGGTTTCAGGGTTTAACGGAATAGGTGATTGGGTCAGGGTTAGGGTTACCATCCGTCCGGATTTGTCCGGACTTTTTGCCATGTGTCCGGACTTGTCCGGCTTTTTTTAATTAGATGGAATATGAGTAAAACTACTTATTAAGCTATATAAAATAAGTCAAATCATCTTTATTAAGTTCTCATGAATTTAAAACCAAAATATAAATTATCTTTAAAAATCAGCAAACCGCTACTACCACGCGTATAATATCACTGTTACTAAGTGGGTGATGTTTGCATTTTGAGACTAAAATGTCCGGCTTTTTGTCAGGACTTTTAAAAATTTAAATAGTAACACTAGTTAGGCAACGGTGCGAATGATATTAATGGTATTGCAAGCGTCTTTAGACCATGGTCGTCGCCACAGAACACAGATATTTATTATGTATGATGCTTATAAGTTGATCAAAACTTGGTTCTGCTTGTGTCTTTGCTCTTATTATTAGGTTATTATCTATTAGGTGAAAGTGTAGTGGGGCCGAGCCACGACATCGTTTCCCGTACAAAAACGGTCTGTGATCACCCTTCTAATCTCTTTCTGTGTTCTGTGGTGTTCGCTTACTATCAGACGGAGTATGCCCTTGCTTGCCACATTTAACATAAAAAATACAGTATTATTTAATTTAAATATAAAATAAAAATATTTTTATTTTTTTATCATTTAATTGCTAGATGTTTCAATTAGAACATAAAAAATATAACATTAACTTAAGTTAATCTCGCCGGCACAGTGTAAACACATTTGTCGTGTCAGTCCAGACGGACATAAAGTAACTGACAACAGTTTCACGTCATTAGTTGACTAAACTAGACCCAGCCATTATTGTATTAATATAATCTTTCATTAACATCAGGCCAAGCCCACATTTCTCACCGTGTTCACAAAGTGATTACTAGTTTTTCGTAGCGTATAACATTTGCATCGCGATTAGGTATAATATTTGTCTTTGATTTTAATGATTTTTGCACAATTTTATAATATTATGAAATCATTAAGAAATCACTGGTGATAATGTTAAATGATAATCCAGATAAGGGTTTTTCACTATCCGAAGTAAGATATCTAAATGATAACCTTTGAAAGGAGCTTTGGTTCACTCGTACTGAGCTAGTTTTCATGTTACGTGAATTGCCATCGAAATAACCATAATATATTAAAACGCTTAATTTTTCAAGTTCTTACGTCCTTAATATTTTCACTAACATCTATGACTGCTTTAACTAAACAAAGTTTTTTTTCTCTACAATTACGCCGTGATATGGCATCATTAGGCACGATGGAGTGACGATTTGCGCAAGGTGGCTGGCAGGAGCTGGATGCGAGTAGCCCAATATCGATCTGAGTGGCGTGCAATTGAAGAAGCCTATGTCCAGCTGTGGGCTAGGATAGGCTGCTGATGATGATGATGGCATCATTAAGCGCATTCTACCGACTATACCACGGCGAGTGTTCTGAGGAGTAATTCTCCCTTCCCTCCTTCACCTTTCCTTCGGAGGACCACGCGCTCTGGCCAACGTTGTCACCTTACTGTGACTACTTTTCCGACACGAAAAAACAAATTTGTCTCTTGTGTGTGTCTCTTTTCTTTGTCGCACTATTCGCAAGTGGAATTCTTTACCCGCGCAGGTGTCCCCCCTCCCCCTTTTTACATTATGGGGTCCTTTAAGAGAGGCGTGAAGAAGCATTTCTGCAGGCCGGCAAGGTGAGGATGGATGGTGTGGCAGTTTATACCTGCTGCAACAGCTATCTTACATGCATAAAAGTTGGAGGGTAACTCAGCGAAGGCTGAAACGCTACGAGCGACACACACACACATATGTATATGTGATGCGCGCTGCTCCATTCCTCTATGCACCGCCTAATGTTAGGTTATTTAAGAAATGAAGTTTCACTTTAGATGTGTGGCCCGTGCACACATTTTTTTATGATTGATTTTAGCAGTTCACGCTTGCGTCATGGTTTCTTTAAACCTCACCAATATACTTTTTTCTATTTCAGGCGTAACGATACCCTCGCAACGGCGGTACGTGGAATACTACGCGGCACTACTACGGTCGCGGCTGCAGTACGCGCCCACCAAGCTGTACATCCGCGAGCTGGTGATGAGCCCGCCGCCCATGCTCAACGGCGGGCAGTGCTCCCTCGAGCTGACCGTCACACACGCCGCGCCCGCCTTCAAGGTTATCATCTTAGTAAAAGTTTTTGATGTTTATTTATTTTATTTATTTATACTCAATGCACAAGTGTACAAAGGCGGACTTAATGCCATTGGGATTCTCTAGCAGTCAACCATAGGGTGTTGTGGATAAATAGTGGTAGGGTGCACAACTTACATGGAAAATATGAAGCAGTCATATATATAATCACACATACATAAATAATTACGTACATATAAATAACTATACATATACATACATACACATATAAATATACATACTAATACATAATGATGACGACAAATGTTCAACATTTGTGGGAGTGATTTCGTGAAATGGGACGGAAGTGTGTGACGGGAAGTCGCGAAAGCGCGCACCTTTTGATTTGATTTTAGAACATAATGTTCAAATGGATTATTCCTTTTGTAGTAGGTTTTATTTCTTTTTTTTACTAATATAAGGTGAGGTTTCAAATGTTAGTGTCGCCGCACACGGGCCACACGCCACAGCCACAAACGCCGCCAGGAGAAGCTAGAAGCGGATACTAAAGTGGCTGAAGCGCGCGACAGCGGCCGACTAAGGTAAGGGAGAGAGGTGTGGGGAATCGCGCGAGTGACGTTCGGCGGCGCGGGCGTTTTGTATCGGCGCATTAAGTTGCCGGTGCGGGCCACAAGAAGCGAGCAACGACGATTTGTAGCGTGTGGCGGCCACCGGCGTACCGTGTGTGGCGAGTCCATATAAAATGTATGAAAACTACAAGAAATATGCCGGTGGCGGCGTTTTGTGGTTGTAGTCGGTGGCCCGTGTGCGGCGACAATTACACATCATACGCGACTACTGTAAGGCTCGCTCCTTGTTTTTTTTATTTTTTGTTTTCTCCCGGGCGGGCTCGGGTGTGAAATTCTCATGGATACCCTACAGCAGCTCACTGACTAAAACACACCCGTGGGGGATGCCTATAGGGGGTTTCTTGGCCTGCGGGGCCTGTTCGGGTGGGGTGGCAAAGTTAAAGTCGTTTCTTTTATAAAGTTTCTTTTATACTATAGCCGCTGGAGCTCGATGGCGCAGGTGGTTAGCGCATTCAGCTGCGGTCGTTAAAGCTGAGCAACTTTCGCAGTGGTCGGTCATTGGATGGGTGACCAAAAACGTACTATCTCGCGCTCCTCCGTGCATCGGAAGGCACGTTAAGCCGTTGGTTACGCCTGCGTCTGCAATCGTTAGCACCCCCCCAATCTGCACTGGGCCCACATGGTGGCTCATGGCCCAATCTCCCTATTTCATCGATAGGGAATGCTTGTGCCCCAGCAGTGGGGACGTTATTAGGCTGGTGATGCTCATTGCTCACTCTAGCTGATGGTCACACACGCCGCGCTACTTTAAGGTAATTAAATAGTATGGCGATAATTACAAGAATAAAATTTTTGATGCGTAAACAATCAATAAATAGTTACTAATATTAACATCAATATTGAATAATTGAAAAGCCAATTGTTATAATATGTAAGTAGGTAGACCATAAAATTACCAATCATTTTTTGTGATTACACTTTCGGACAATTAATCCACAGTGTACCAGGCGTAGAATAGGTAATTCACTTTTCGTCAATGCGAACACCGCAGCAGGCGGCTTTTTCTATCTCTTTTTTTTTCTATTTAGTTGTTCACGAACCTTGTGCTTGTTGGGCTTGCTTCTCTTATTACGAAAATGGCTAGGTTATTAAAATATAATGAGATAATACGTCGGCCGAAGTGTGTGTGTGACATTAAAAGTGCCTGGCAATAAATACTGCGAACAGAATGTCTCAGGCAGTTATAATATTAAATTGTTTACAATATTCTCTACAATATACGTAATAATCAGTCCCCAGACTGTAAGTAAAGCGAGTAAAATTTTTACATGCCTGTGCCACCTTATTCGTGAAAATTGGCCTACAGCACAAGTTAGCGAGTATGTATACGTTCGTTGTACACACTAATACTACTCGATAATCCATACTTCGTCCATGAGAAATAAAGTGAGGTCTGGCAGTCTTGGGATCCTGCATTAGTATATATATATCCCATACACACACACATATTTATATAGTCGTGTGACACTCGTGGCGCATTTCCGTTTCATCTTTTCACTTCGAAACTTGTAATTTTTGAATAAAGGCAAAAGCTCTTAAATTCTTTGCCCGCGCACGTGTTCCCTGCTTCCTACAATCTGGGGTGTTTTAAGAGAGCCGTGAACAAGTATTTTCGCAGGCCGAAAAGGGGAGCAAGGTTGGTGTAGCACTTTATAACTGCTGTACCAGCTATCTCCGCGTTTGGACTCTATCACCACTTAACATTAGGTAGGGTAGAGTCATTTGCCTACCTGGCTACACATATATTAGAAGAAATTGTTTGATATTTTCAGGTGGGAGGCGGTGGCGTAGAATGCCGTCGCGGCGCCAACTCCGCTCGCGTAGTACTCGGCGCCTGCACGCCTCTACGGGGTGATGTGCGCGTAGACCTGCACCACAAGCCCAAGATGATGCGCAAGGAGAAGCTGTTCCACTTCTGGTTCAACACCTTCTTCGTGGCGGCCGGCGTGGGAGCTGTGCGGATTCCACCGCCATCAGACAGTCAGTATATACACTACAATGTAACCGTAGTATTGTAGACCTGCACCACAAGCCCAAGATGATGCGCAAGGAGAAGCTGTTCCACTTCTGGTTCAACACCTTCTTCGTGGCGGCCGGCGTGGGAGCTGTGCGGATTCCACCGCCATCAGACAGTCAGTATATACACTACAATGTAACCGTAGTATTGTAGACCTGCACCACAAGCCCAAGATGATGCGCAAGGAGAAGCTGTTCCACTTCTGGTTCAACACCTTCTTCGTGGCGGCCGGCGTGGGAGCTGTGCGGATTCCACCGCCATCAGACAGTCAGTATATACACTACAATGTAACCGTAGTATTGTAGACCTGCACCACAAGCCCAAGATGATGCGCAAGGAGAAGCTGTTCTACTTCTGGTTCAACACCTTCTTCGTGGGAGCCGTGCGGATTCCACCGTCCTCAGACAGTCAGTATATACGTATATTGTTACAAGTCTACCCCCACTTTGCACCCAGACCAGGCAACGGCACTTAATAGTGGCGTCCAGAACTGACGTGCGCTTAACTAGTGCATATAATCCATACGGCACACAGTCAATCCCCCACAACAACGGCTAAGGTCCGAGTCTCAGAGACGCCCTCTAGTTGTGCCGAACCCTTAGGTTCGAGTGGTCTAGAGGCTCCTGACGGAGAGGAAACCCCCCCCCCCCCTGTGGGGAGATTCCATCCGCCTGGAATACCTCTAGAGGCACTCGCCAATTCTCGGCTTGAGTTCTCCTTAGGATCTCGTCGTCCCCAAATCCGGTGACGCTGTAAAGGTCATCTGCGATCAACAGCATACACACTCAAAAAAAACATCATCAATTCGCCTCAAGTCTCGAGTTATGCGAAAGGTCATCTGCGATCAACAGCATACACACTTAAAAAAAACATCATCAATTCGCCTCAAGTCTCGAGTTATGCGAAAGGTCATCTGCGATCAACAGCATACACACTCAAAAAAACATCATCAATTCGCCATGAAACTGAAACTAGCAGCCAACATTCTCTTCAGACAAAATATTTTTTTTTTCAGCTAAACTATTAGAGTGTCTTGGCTGAAATTACACCCACTATTTCTTCACCCTCAAAAGAAGTTCTGGGGAAAATTTCATCAATTTCGTATGTGTAGGAGATGAGATACAGCTTTTTCAAAAAATAAATAATCTTTCTCCTGAGAGAAAAATTTTTTTTACAACTAAACTATAAGAGTATCTTGGCTGAAATTACTTCCACTATTTCTTCACCCTAAAAAGAAGTTTTGAGGAAAATTTCAGCAAGTTCGTATGTCTAGGAGATGAGATACAGCTTTTTAAACAAAAAAAAATATTCTCCTGAGAAAATATTTTTTTACGACTAAACTATTAGAGTATCTTGGCTAAAATAACTTCCACTATTTCTTCATCTTAAAAAGAAGTTTTGAGGAAAATTTCAGCATGTTCGTATGTCTAGGAGATGAGATACAGGTTTTTAAAACCAAAAAAAAATTCTCTTGAGAAAATTTTTTTTTACAACTAAACTATTAGAGTATCTTGGCTGAAATTACTTCCACTATTTCTTCACCCTAAACAAAAGTATTGAGGAAAATTTCAGCATGTTCGTATGTCTAGGACATGAGATACAGCTTTTTAAACAAAAAAAAATATTCTCCTCAGAATTTTTTTTTTTACAACTAAACTGTTAGAGTATCTCAGCTGAAATAACTTCCACTATTTCTTCACCCTAAAAAGAAGTTTTGGGGAAAATTTCAGCAATTTCGTATGTCTAGGAGATGAGATACAGCTTTTTAAACAAAAAAAAATATTCTCCTGAGAAAATATTTTTTTACAACTAAACTATTAGAGTATCTTTGCTGAAATTACTTCCACTATTTCTTCACCCTAAACAAAAGTTTTGAGGAAAATTTCAGCATGTTCGTATGTCTAGGAGATGAAATACAGCTTTTAAACAAAAATAATATTCTCCTGAGATTTTTTTTTTTACAAATAAACTATTAGAGTATCTCGGCTGAAATAACTTCCACTGTTTCTTCACCCTAAAAAGAAGTTTTGAGGAAAATTTCAGCATGTTCGTATGTCTAGGAGATGAGATACAGCTATTTCAACAAAAAAAGAAATATTCTCCTGAGAAAATATTTTTTTACAAATAAACTATTAGAGTATCTCGGCTGAAATTACTTCCACTGTTTCTTCACCCTAAAAAGAAGTTTTGAGGAAAATTTCAGCAAGTTCGTATGTCTGGGAGATGAGATACAGCTATTTCAACAAAAAAGAAATATTCTCCTGAGAAAATATTTTTTTAAACTAAACTATTAGAGTATCTTGGCTGAAATTACTTCCACTATTTCTTCACCCTAAAAAGAAGTTTTGAGGAAAATTTCAGCAAGTTCGTATGTCTAGGAGATGAGATACAGCTTTTTAAACAAAACAAATATTCTCCTGAGAAAATATTTTTTTACAACTAAACTATTAGAGTATCTTGGCTAACATTACTTCCACTATTTCTTAACCTTAAAAAGAAGTTGTGAGGAAAATTTCAGCATGTTCGTATGTCTAGGAGATGAGATACAGGTTTTTAAAACCAAAAAAAAAAATTCTCTTGAGAAAATATTTTTTTACAACTAAACTATTAGAGTATCTTGGCTGAAATACCTTCCACTATTTCTTCACCCTAAAAAGAAGATTTGAAGAAAATTTCAGCAATTTCGTATGTCTAGGAGATGAATACAGCTTTTTAAACAAAAAAAAATATTCTCCTGGGAAAATATTTTTTTACTACTAAACTATTAGAGTATCTTGGCTGAAATTACTTCCACTATTTTTTCACCCTAAACAAAAGTTTTGAGGAAAATTTCAGCATGTTCGTATGTCTAGGAGATGAGATACAGCTTTTTAAACAAAAAAAATATTCTCCTGAGAAAATATTTTTTTACAACTAAACTATTAGAGTATCTTGGCTAAAATTACTTCCACTATTTCTTCACCTTAAAAAGAAGTTTTGAGGAAAATTTCAGCATGTTCGTATTTCTAGGAGATGAGATACAGGTTTTTAAAACCAAAAAAAAAATCTCTTGAGAAAATATTTTTTTACAACTAAACTATTAGAGTATCTTGGCTGAAATTACTTCCACTATTTCTTCACCCTAAAAAGAAGATTTGAAGAAAATTTCAGCAATTTCGTATGTCTTGGAGATGAGATACAGCTTTTTAAACAAAAAAAAATATTCTCCTGGGAAAATATTTTTTTACTACTAAACTATTAGAGTATCTTGGCTGAAATTACTTCCACTGTTTCTTCACCCTAAAAAGAAGTTTTGAAGAAAATTTCAGCAATTTCGTATGTCTAGGAGAGGAGAAACAGCTTTTTAAACAAAAAAAAAATATTCTCCTGAGAAAATATTTTTTTACAACTAAACTGTATCTCATCTCCTAGACATACGAACTTCCTGAAATTTTCCTCAAAACTTCTTTTTAAGGTGAAGAAATAGTGGAAGTAATTTCAGCCAAGATACTCTAAAAGTTTAGTTTTAAAAAAATATTTTCTCAGCAAATTTTTTTTTTGTTTAAAAAGCTGTATCTCATCTCCTAGACATACGAAATTGCTGAAATTTTCTTCAAAACTTCTTTTTAGGGTGAAGAAACAGTGGAAGTAATTTCAGCCAAGATACTCTAAAAGTTTAGTTTAAAAAAAAAATTTTCTCAGGAGAATATTCTTTTTGTTTAAAAAGCTGTATCTCATCACCTAGACATACGAACATGCTGAAATTTTCTTCAAAACTTCTTTTTAGGGTGAAGAAACAGTGGAAGTAATTTCAGCCAAGATACTCTAATAGTTTAGTAGTAAAAAAATATTTTCCCAGGAGAATATTTTTTTTTGTTTAAAAAGCTGTATCTCATTTCCTAGACATACGAAATTGTTGCAATTTTCTTCAAATCTTCTTTTTAGGGTGAAGAAACAGTGGAAGTAATTTCAGTCAAGATACTCTAATAGTTTAGTAGTAAAAAAATATTTTCCCAGGAGAATATTATTTTTTGTTTAAAAAGCTGTATCTCATTTCCTAGACATACGAAATTGTTGCAATTTTCTTCAAATCTTCTTTTTAGGGTGAAGAAACAGTGGAAGTAATTTCAGCCAAGATACTCTAATAGTTTAGTAGTAAAAAAATATTTTGCCCAGGAGAATATATTTTTTTGTTTAAAAAGCTGTATCTCATCTTGTAGACATACGAAATTGCTGAAATTTTCTTCAAATCTTCTTTTTAGGGTGAAGAAACAGTGAAAGTAATTTCAGCCAAGATACTCTAATAGTTTAGTAGTAAAAAAATATTTTCTCAGGAGAATTTTTTATTGTTTAAAAAGCTGTTTCTCCTCTCCTAGACATACGAAATTGCTGAAATTTTCTACAAAACTTCTTTTTAGGGTGAAGAAACAGTGGAAGTCATTTCAGCCAAGATACTCTAATAGTTTAGTAGTAAAAAAATATTTTCTTAGGAGAATATTTTTTTTTGTTTAAAAAGCTTTATCTCATCTCCTAGACATACGAACATGCTGAAATTTTCCTCAAAACTTCTTTTTAATGTGAAAAATACCGGAAGTAATTTCAGCCAAGATACTCTCATAGTTTAGTTGTAAAAAAATATTTTCTCAGATTTTTTTTTTGTTTAAAAAGCTGTATCTCATCTCCTAGACATACGAACTTGCTGAAATTTTCCTCAAAACTTCTTTTTAGGGTGAAGAAAAGGTGGAAGTAATGTCAGCAAAGATACTCTAATAGTTAGTTGAAAAAAAAAATTTTGTCTCAAGAGAATGTCGGCTGCTAGTTTCAGTTTCAATAATTTATTAAAATTATATTTTTAGGAGAGGAGATAAAGGTATCTAAACTTGTCACGTTAATTTTTAATATTATTTGTAATTTCGCAACGAAAAATTCTAATTTTTAAAAAATATAGGGCCCGGACCCTATCTTCTATGTTTCGTCCATGTCGGCTGCTAGCTGGTAGCTGCTAGTTTCAGTTTGATCAATTCGCCTCAAGTCTCGAGTTATGCGAAAGGTCATCTGCGATCAACAGCATACACACTTAAAAAAAACATCATCAATTCGCCTCAATTCTCGAGTTATGCGAAAGGTCATCTGCGATCAACAGCATACACACTCAAAAAAAACATCATCAATTCGCCTCAAGTCTCGAGTTATGCGAAAGGTCATCTGCGATCAACAGCATACACACTCAAAAAAAACATCATCAATTCGCCTCAAGTCTCGAGTTATGCGAAAGGTCATCTGCGATCAACAGCATACACACTCAAAAAAAACATCATCAATTCGCCTCAAGTCTCGAGTTATGCGAAAGGTCATCTGCGATCAACAGCATACACACTCAAAAAAAACATCATCAATTCGCCTCAAGTCTCGAGTTATGCGAAAGGTCATCTGCGATCAACAGCATACACACTCAAAAAAAACATCATCAATTCGCCTCAAGTCTCGAGTTATGCGAAAGGTCATCTGCGATCAACAGCATACACACTCAAAAAAAACATCATCAATTCGCCTCAAGTCTCGAGTTATGCGAAAGGTCATCTGCGATCAACAGCATACACACTCAAAAAAACATCATCAATTCGCCTCCAGTCTCGAGTTATGCGATTTGCCCCTCCCCTCCCCTCTCACTATATACCGTAAGTGAGGGTTACTTTAGCTCGGGCGGGTAACTTTGTCCCAAATCAGAAAAAAATATTGAACTTGCCGCCCCATCAGTATCTTTTGGGTGACCGTAATAGTTCCAGTTGAAAATCACAGATAGCCATATAGGCGCGCAGTGTGTCGTTGTTTTACCGACATCGTTCCTGTATCAAGTTGTCATTGTAAAGCGGGATTTTTTGTAACTGAAATAGTTCGCAAGTTCATGCGCAAACTTTCTCAAAACTGTGGTTTTCGGTAAGTTTACTATTTTTTCTAAATTTAAAGTTATATTTTTTATTTAACTTAATTATTTTTGGCAAAAACACCCGTTCGTGTATTCAGTATGCTAATGGTGGTCTGTTATAAGGGTTAAAATGAGTTTTTTTCACAGAGAAACTCAACGAGCTAAAGTAACCCTCTCTAAGGCCAACTTTGTCCCAAAATTAAAAAAATATATGTATATATTAACCCTTAAAAAATATTTTTTCCTATTTTCGTATGATAACTTATACTTTAAAGTTCACAATTGCAAGATATAAACGTGACATATTCATCACAAAGAGAAGCTACAATTTTATTTGAAAAAAACGTGTAAATTTTAGGTCAAAGTAACCCGCAGTTACTCGGTATAGACACTGTGTAAAATGCACTGGTAAATGCAGCGCGACCTCCGGGGGCAGTGTTATCGCTCGCAGCCGTTTCCAGATGATATTGACGAGTTTTTAAGGAAATTAATATAATTGAATTTTTATTTTAAAGCATTTACCTGCTACATGTTAGAATCCAAAAAAAAACAATTACTATAAAAAAAAAACCACGTGGTCACCAGGCAGCAGACGGAACTCGACCCTCACCCTCCGTAATCCGAGCGGATACACTGACCAATTCTACTACAGCGGCCCTGATGACCGTGTCGAATTTTCTACAGTATTTCTTAGGTTGCAAGGCAGAGCCATGTTTTCGCATTGCAAGTAACACACAATGTCAAATGAAATACCTTTACAAGTATCAAACATTAGTTTTCTATTAAAATTTTCATGAAAGCTTAAAGTATAAAAATGTAAGTATTTCATATTACAATTTGTTATTATATAATTGCAGGTCCCAACCAAGAGACGTTCAAGTTGACGCTTAACAAGTGGCAACTAGACGACGCGCATAAGGACAAACAGCATAAAATATACAGCCCTGATTTTAAGGTACGACATATTAGTTTTGTTTTTGTTTGTTTTTTTGTAACCATATTTTTCCTTAATTATTCTAAATCTCCATTAGCAAAGGCAATGGACTCGCACAGCCTTACCTTTATTTTATTTATATTTTATAAATTAAATTTTAAAAACAATTGAATCGTTAGTGTTTGGCATCCACTTGTCAGATACTGGACCCAATTGAAAACCAGCGTCATTACACACAGCACTGACACAATGCTGAAACGGGCCCTTCAGCGCAGCTGTGGATACAGATAGTACCTTCATGTCAAGTTATTTGTCCCTTTTCGTTCTTCTGTATATTTGTTACATTTTAACCATTTCTCTGTACCTGTGAACTGTGCTGAATAAACGATTTTAATTTGATTTGATTTAAATAAAACTAGTTTTTACGGGTTAATGCACGAACCTTTATTTATTTATTGACGTTTCGTAGCCTTTACAGGCTACGTCGTCAGAATCAAACTTTTATTTAATTTGTCGAGCTACCTTCGAAAGACTTTTATTGAGCGTTCGGTTATTTCATTGTTCGATTTTTAAAGTTTTATTGTCTATGTATGAATTTATTATTTAATTTACTATAAAATTTGATTTGATTTATTGTTATACTTTATTTATTTATTTATCTTTAACAAAGTTTGTACAGCGATTTTTGTTGATGTAATACAATAAAATATAAATACAATCTTCAGGCCAATTACAGAAACTTATTTTGTACACATAAGATACTAACGGCGTTACTTTAAATCAATATAACATTGAATTTAAAAAAAAGTATAAATACAAAGGGTTTACAGGAATTTGTCACATGATAACTTAATGAATGAGTGTGTGTGTGTATGTATGTATGTATGTGTGTGTATGTGTGTATGTGTGTGTGTGTGTGTGTGTGTGTGTGTGTCCATGCAGTTACTGCTTTTTTCACTGAAACGAATTAGTGGACACAATCATAATTTATTTAATAATTATCGCACTCGACATACGGTGACCTGCTTGATGGAGATAGAAAAAAAAATAAAAATCTGCAGCTCTACCATTGGGTAGAGTTATAATTATAGAATGTTAAGAAAAGTCCTAGACACTAAAGTCCGTATTACTAAATTTGTGTTTGAAATTGCAATCCCCAAAGATGATTAATGATAAATGGGTGAAACAATGTATAGTCGACGTCTGAGGGCGAGTCGTACTTGTATGCTCTAATACTACATAACTACCACTTCACTTGGCTATTTGCTATATTGACGTGATAACATCTTATAAACCGATAAACCCCGGCTGTACGCACGAAAAAGTGTCACGTTCCGCCTGAGCCTGAGCGTGCAAGCGAGAGCGCGGAACAAGCGATAGAACGCACGATCGGCGCAAGCGTCGGCTTGTACACAATTATCTCACTTCTCGCGTGACATGATGAACTATCCTTCGTAAACCGATTTTACAGACAACCAATTTTTTAAACTTGAAAACAGTATATTTTTCATGCTTTATAAGGAATGAAAAGACCGGACCGATGTCAAGTTTACAAATAGTAAACACGCATAACCAAGTGAAGTGCCATCATAAGGCACAAGTGGTTTCCCTTCTATGTGGTCTCTGAAGTAAATTCTCTTTGTCTATGGATGCAGAGTTTTTTTTAATATTTAAGGCAGGCAAATGGGGTCGGAACGTTTAGACGCGAAGATAGCTTATGCAGTAGTTATGAATTTCCAACTATCCATCCTCACCTTGCCGGCTTGAACATTTATGCTTCTTCACGCTTCTTTTAAAGGTCCACTTTATTTATTGGTTGCGATCTGCGGCCAACGAATGAGAAAGAATATGGAAGTATTATATATTACTCTTTAAATTATTAAATATTACTCTTTAAAAAAGGCTGCTAAAACATGGAACCGCACACAGTCAAAACAAAATACTTTGCCAAATCAAATATCTGCAAATGAATTCGCCTATCCATTCATTGGCTAAGATAATGTTAAACGGAAATGCCAACCAATAACAACATCGGCGTGTTTACTGCAGTTTTTTCGCCCCGCCCACTTGATTACAGTTTGCGAGGAACCACTTTTTAGCGCAGTATGCCGTAGTTCTTCTAATTCGTTGGTTTCGGATACGTTGTGACGTGGTCGTTGATCTTCACAGGTGGAAGTAATAGTTCAGAAACAGCCGGATTCATCAACGTTCAGCGTCGCGGCGCCCAGAGCCGGTTGGTCGGCGTCGTCGGCGTCGTTGTCCGACAACGATAACGACAACGACAACGACTCCGACGTCGAACAGGACCAAAACCAGGACCAGGACAACGAACCCGACGGACACTGGGACTCGGGTAAATATAGATACACTGACATCAAAAATAACTCTTGCGTTTAAGAAAGGAATCTAAAACGCCGACGCATGACATTGTCTCTCTCGCACTCACACATGCGTGCGAGAGGGACAGAATGTCTTAAGTCGTCATTTGCGATTCCTTTCTTTAATGACACGAGTTATACATAGTACACATACACAAAAGATTTCGGTAACTACACCACATTAAACAGTACATCTACACATACATTGACACTACAAACAAGTAATAAGTACAACATTACACCAAACTAAATAGTACTTACATTGACACTGAAGTCGAGCAAGACTAAGATCAGGGCAACGAACCCGATAGCCCAGAAACGCAGCATTAAAGGTGCATTCTACAGGCTCTATAGAATCAAGTCCCGAGATGCTTCTTGTTAGCTAACAATTACGTATACAATTTTGAGCTTAGTGCCTAATTGTAACTTCTTCTTCCACGATCACTCCTGTAAAGATATTAATAGGATATTTGACAGTACGAAAAATAATGTGCCAATTGTTGGCATCTGTATTTAATATGAATATTAGCAGCGATTTAACTATTCTGAAAAAATAATTAATTAACAAACCATGGTCACGTGACGTCAAAATGACGTCACACGCTAGTAACTCCCGGCCAAAGTGACATTACATCGCGTCGTTTGACGTTTTAATGACAGTCGTGCGACGTCACACACTGGTGAGACGTCATACGTTTTCGCGGCAACTTGAAAATTGAATTTTTAATTTAGTTTTTTTACTGAATTACCCAACAGAATTGAAAATATCCACTTTTTGTGGACTCCATAAACATTAGTTAATAACATGAGATCTTTTTATAAAACTTGTCTCATACCCTTTAATGTTACACTGTCACTTTTCTTTTAGCTTTGAAAGCGTTCACGAAAAGAGTTAAAGTTACACAGTAAGCCCCCAGAATTTGTATTTAAATTAACTTACTTGTTCCGAAGCATACACAACATACTTCTACATACGTACAATACATTTTCTAGTTTTTACACTATATTTTATTTGATAAGTTATTGAATGACAGGGAAGGTCGTAGTTTAATATAATGGGTGGATATGTGTTAACAGTTAGCTAGTAATTTGAATGAACATACTAATATTTAGTAGATTTATTATGTAGTGGTTAAATATACTAATTCGTAAAGGGGTAGTTAGTGACCAGTCTGTTCTTAAAATGAGTACTTGGCACATTAGGTATTTTACAATTTATTATGTACTTTTATTTAATTGAAAGAAACTTTAAGAAAGATATTGTAAAACACATATATATGGAACTAATTAAAATAAATTAAATTCCAAGAAAAGATGCACAGAACGTTTCTTAAGAAAATATATGTAGTTTATTTCGTTTGCAATCATATTTACTGCAGACCCTATACTGGGTTTACGCTTTATCTATGAGTATAATATATATGTAATCGAATTTCCCTTTTTTGGCTTTTGCCATAGTAACTGATGTGAAATTTTATCGTTATATAGGGCAAAGCAGACAGATGATGCATTGATCTCGGGTTAATATTAGGGCGTCTATTATATTGAATTGTGGGTGTGCAACGCGCGTAGTTCCAATTGTTTATTAAATGATTTCAGTTGGCAAACTAATTAAGAATCTGTGTCCTTTACAAAAAGGTCTAGGTATATGTTAAAAATAATTAGTGACGTTATGGTTAAGTAATCAAATGGCGTCAATAATTACGCGTAGTGTCTGTATTTTGATAATATTTTCCATTATGGAAAGTAAAAGAGGCTAAGTTCATATACATCATTATAATTTATGTTATTTTATATAATTATGTTTTCTTTTTCAATTACTTAAATTTTAATATTCGAAGAGGTATATACATCTACCGCCTTCGAAAACAGAATGCGTGTGTTAAATGTATCTGAGGTTAGTTCTCTCAGCGAACAAAAAAATTACTCCATATAATCTCCAGACACTACGCAAAACAATACTGATTTTATAGCCGGCACTGTTTTGCCCTACACAATCAACAAAAACATATCAACATTCAACAAAATCGTCTACACGAAACTTTGTTTCACTACACATATTTCTTTCCATCAACAATGTTTTTGCTTTCCGAGCCTGATGGAAAACACGTACACAAAACACCCCGCGCGGGTTGAGGGGGGCAGGGCATTGTTTCATCAGCGTTTCAATTTTGGCATAAAGTTTACGAAAATTCTGTCAAATTTGACGTTTGTTGCATCTGGATCGTAGTTTTTGAACGTAACTTGTGTTTATTTTGTGTACGCCAGCCACGTGAGCTGTATAGTTGAGAAACATGTTTCAGAAACAAAGTTTTGTGTATGTGTTTTTTTTAATGTTTTCAAAAAACTTTGCTGGAGACACTTACAACTTCACAATATTATCATTTGTAAAACACAGTTAACGGATAGAATACATTTACTGATACACATCTAAGTATATTTATATAGGAATACATATTAAACATCCATGACTGGAGTACCTACATGCTCGTATTTATCACACAAATTCCGTCACCACCGGGATTCGAACCCGAGACCTCTCAAGTAGGCGACACCTGGAAACTCTGCGTACAAACCACTAGGCCACGGAGGTCGTCAATTAATAAACGAGGAATAAGCTAAAAATAGCTACGCCGTGTTTTGTTCATATCACTCAAGTGCCATTTCTAACTTAATCAACACAGACAAAACACGAAGTAACTAGGTTACCCAAGCTTATTCTTTGTTTATTAATAAGGGGCTGAAAGTTTAGTAACAGTGAGGCTGAGCGCAGATTATAATCACGACAGTCTCAAGACACACTATTGCTTAACAAAACGCACATTTCTGACGTCTCATAGACAAAACGTCTTATGTACACAAAAACTGCACAGCGTTAAGTCTGATTAATGACTATCCGCTTCCCTTTTTAATGTATCCGAGGGCGCACATCAACGAGAAAACTGTCTAGCGATTAAGGATGACAAACGATGCCAAAAGAGAGTATACAATATTTACGATAAGTAATATGTGGGTCCATACATTTTAACAAATTATCAAAGGTAGACACATTCATTCGAAAGTACTGGAAAAACTTTCTGTGGTGGTGCCTTAATTTACCATAATTATAGTAAACAAAATTTCCTCTTTTATCAGCCTTTCACTATATGTATATGTGGTGTACCCAGTATTTACATCGCCTGCGCCAGCGTTTTGGAATTACACGTGTAACTAGGATACTTATAACAGCAGCTACGGAGAAATCTATTCTAATACTGATGAAATGGTGTGTCGTAGACAAAACAGTTTCGTCTTGATGTGCGCCACGCGGCACAACTTTCTTTTTAAATTTAAAGTTGTCTATGTGAGACAAGATTATCTTACAACTGTCGTGTCTGTTATCTGCGCTCAGCCTAAGCTTACGTATCAATTAGCGTATGTTTACGATACGCATAAAGTTGATAGAATGGGAAGCTCATCGATGTAATGCAATATAGGGCCCTACAGCGCGCTGCTGACGGCCCCGCCCTCGGCCCCGGCCCCGGCCCCGGCCCCGCCCCGACACCACCACACGTAAATATACGATATGTTTATGACCCCCATTACCCGCCTCGGAACTAAACGCGACTTTCACGTCCCTCACCTGCCTCACGCTGTTACCCCCTTACCACCGGCTTATACCATGTCGCCGCTCTCCTTCATGACACGTCACGTCACTATACGCGTTGTTCACGACCCGCCTCACCCTACTGTTATCCCCTTACCACCCGCCTACCCGTCACTCTTTGTAACTATACGCGATATTACGCTTCGCCACCATGATTCCATTACCCGCCTCATAACTAAACGCGACGTTCACGCCCCTCACCCGCCTCACGCTGTTACTCCCTTACCGCACTACACTGTCGCCGCTCCCCTTCATCACACGTCACTATACGCGTTGTTCACGACCCGCCTCACCCTACTGTTATTCCCTTACCGCCCGCCTACCCGTTACTCTTTGTAACTATACGCGATATTACGCTTCGCCACCATGATTCCATTACCCGCCTCTTAATTAAACTCGACGTTCACGCCCCTCACCCGCTCACGCTGTTACTCCCTTACCGCACTACACTGTCGCCGCTCCCCTTCATCACACGTCACTATACGCGTTGTTCACGACCCGCCTCACCCTACTGTTATCCCCTTACCGCCGCCCGCCTACCCGTTACTCTTTGTAACTATACGTGATATTACGCTTCGCCACCATGATTCGATTACCCGCCTCATAATTAAACGCGACGTTCACGCCCCTCACCCGCCTCACGCTGTTACTCCCTTACCGCACTACACTGTCGCCGCTGTCCTTCATCACACGTCACTATACGCGTTATTCACGACCCGCCTCACCCTACTGTTATTCCCTTACCGCCCGCCTACCCGTTACTCTTTGTAACTATACGCGATATTACGCTTCGCCACCATGATTCCATTACCCGCCTCATAATTAAACGCGACGTTCACGCCCCTCACCCGCCTCACGCTGTTACTCCCTTACCGCACTACACTGTCGCCGCTCTCCTTCATCACACGTCACTATACGCGTTATTCACGACCCGCCTCACCCTACTGTTATCCCCTTACCGCCTACCTGATGTTACGCCCCGCCACCATAATTCCATTACCCGCCTCATAACTAAACGCGACGGGGCGTGAGCCCCTCACCGGACTCACGCTGTTACTCCCTTACCGCACTACACTGTCGCCGCTCCCCTTCATCACACGTCACTATACGCGTTGTTCACGACCCGCCTCACCCTACTGTTATTCCCTTACCGCCCGCCTACCCGTTACTCTTTGTAACTATACGCGATATTACGCTTCGCCACCATGATTCCATTACCCGCCTCATAACTAAACGCGACGTTCACGCCCCTCACCCGCCTCACGCTGTTACTCCCTTATCGCACTACACTGTCGCCGCTCCCCTTCATCACACGTCACTATACGCGTTGTTCACGACCCGCCTCACCCTACTGTTATCCCCTTACCGCCTAC